TATTGCTCTAACTACTAAAGAGAAATGACTGGAATGGGAAGAAATGGGAGTGAAGATAGACAGTCGACAACTACACCACCTCCGCTTTGCTGATGACATCCTTCGAATAACACCAAACATTAGCCAAGCGGCACAAATGCTGGCCGACTTTGACCCTGAGTGTGGAAAGGTCGGACTGCAGCTGAATCTCACGAAGACAATGTTTATGAGAAACAGCCTCGTTCCTGATGCCCCATTCGCTCTCAACGGAACGACCATCTCCGAATGCAACAGTTATGTGTACCTAGGTCGAGAAGTCAACATGACGAATCACCTGGCCACCTGAGTTGCGCAGGAGGAAGAGAGCTGCTTGGAACGCCTTCAAGAGCGTCGAAGAAATAGCTAAGAGGACGAAGAACCTCCGGCTCCGGGCACATCTCTTTGATTCCACTGTTCTTCCTGCATTAACATATGCCTCAGAGACCTGGGCCCTATGAAAACTGGGTGAGAATGCTATTCAGGTCCCCCAAAGAGGAATTGAACGAGCTATGCTTGGAGTAACATGTTTCACTCAAATGAGAGAAAGAATCCAGAGTTTCGACCTCCGTAGACGGTCAAGAATCAGGGACGCTGTCTCGTTTGCCAAGGCATTGAAAATCAGATGGACTGGACACATAATGGGATTTGGAGATGACTGCTAGACTAGAGCCATTACCAACTGGATTCCATGGGACGTCAAAAGACTGCGTGGCTGCCCACCTACCAGATGGTCAGACTTGTCAAGACCCTTAATGATCGGTTTGAGGCTCTTCGTGTTTCTAGAATGAACAGACGCCATCAGGCTACACTAGCACAAAACAGGGATGAATGGAGATGTTACTGGGACTCGCTCGAGCAAATTGATGATTAACGGGAAGTGATCAAGTGACTAAAGAGAAAAATGTAAAATGAGAATTTCTCTAGATATTCTACTAAAACAAGTATGTTTCCATGATTCAAAGCAGCAACAATTTTGGTGGGTTTTTTTTTTTTTTTTTTGGTTTGTTTTTGGGTTTGGGCGTCATGCTGTCAGTGCTTAAGACTTACTCCTGGTGCTATGTTCAGGGATCACTCCTGACAGTGCTCAGGGGACCATATGTGGTGCTGGGCCTGAACCAGGGTTGACTATATGCAAGTGAACACATTAGCTCATACTGTACTATCTCTATCATACAAATTAACAGTATTTTTCCTTAAAATATTTTTTGTAAGATGTAGCATTTTTTGCCTTTTATTATACATGTTAACATGAATATTTATGAAACTTACTCATTACTTTTCTTCACCTAAAAATTAAGAATTGTATTTGAAACTAGGAATGTGAGGGAAAAGCCTTCTTTGAGGACTGTGGCCTTTAAAACTCCTGTGCTTTAGGAACCTTTGCTGGATAATATTTGGCTTATCTGAGTAATCTTTTAATGAGAAAAATGATGAGTTTTTAATCCTTCTGAACTGTACCATTTTTATTTTTTCTCTCTCATGTCTCAGTTTCAGTGAGAAGTAGAGCACCTTAACTCGAGTAAGATGCTTTTGTCAGTCCTATCTGGTAGTTTCTAATTTAATCTTTGTCTAATGGCTGATCTGTTGTGGGTTGCAACTGCCTTTGTGCATGATCGCACAGATTGCCAGATTACTCGTTAACAGATTGCACGGATTGCTTCCAGTAGGGTTGTTGGACATGGTTAACTATCCTTGATCTATGTAGAGGAAATTGAGTCTCAGAAAGGTAGAACAAACTGTCTAGGAATGCGTAGGTGGACAGTAGCTGACAGAGGTCAAACTAGAGTCTGAATGACACACTCTGTCTCCATTGGCTTTCCTTTGTATACCCCCAGGTGCGTGGTTGTGGGGCAGGAATTAAAGCTCAAGAGAGGGGTTTGTGTGGTGCTTGAGAGTATGAATTGACTAGAAATCAGAAGCTAGTATTGTGCTACACATTCTCTCCCCAGGTTTAAATCATTTAGAGGTGCACAGATTGAAGGTGGTTGCAAAGATGAACTCCAAAGAGGCTGGGCAGTAAGATAGGGGTATTGAAAGGAATCTGGCAAGCTTGCTACTTTGGTGACCAAATTTACCTCTCATCTGCTTTATCAGAATGGATTGTACAATAATTATGTGACCAATACCCAGAAATTCTGTCTGAACAATTAATAGAACCAAGATACTTTGTAAATGTTAATATACTATAAAAACATGACATGTTATACGTTGTTCATTAAATTCAGGGTTTATTTTAGCCTGAATGGGTTATTGGTGTTTTAAAAATGCAGATTACATAATCAAGGACTAACCTTTGCTTTGGTAAAACATGTTCACATAATTGTTGTAAAAGAGTTTTCTTTTTTCTCTCTTTTATTTTTCATTATCAGTGTTACACATTCAAGAAACATTTATTGATCTCCCAAAATGTGTTAGGTCCTATGTATTGGGAAATTAAGACAGGAATGTATGTAGTTGACTTCACAAATGCTTCTTCCCCTATTGGGAAAAATGAACTGGGATAGCCTATTCCAGACGAATTTGGTTATGTATTTTGAAAGCCTGAAAAAAGCCTTTATGGGCCAGAGAGATAGTTCATAAGTTATCCAAGCACTGCTTGGAGTGACCCCCATCACTAAAATAGAATTGCTCCTGAGAAACAGCTGATATTACCGTCCTAAAGTAAAACCAAGGTATTATTTTTTCTGTCATTATACATGGGGCAGAATGGAGGCTCCAAACTAGAGCAGATAAGCATTCCAGAGCATAATGAGGGTGTCTGACTGAGCAGTGAGTGGTGGTGGAATCTACCAGGGGGTCTGTCACTAAGCCCACTTCCCGATGAGTCTCTCTGTGCTTGATCATCCTTGTTTTCATGCACAACGTCTTCCTCCAGTCTAGCAGAAGTGCTGATATATACTCTGCTTCTGTAAAAAATGACTTCTAAGTATTATCAATAAGAATCATCAAATTATTAAGTGTAATTTAAGTCCAACAATTACGTTCCTATAATGAAGTATTCTGAATTCTGGATTAGTGATGAATGACTTGAACAGCACATGAAAATAATGGTATCTTAAAGGGTGAAGGAAAATTGTAACACCAGAATCGGAGATGAAAACCCGGGCATATTTATTTATTTATTTATTTATTTATTTATTTATTTTGGGGTGTGTGTTTTGTTAATCTGTTGCCTCCTATGCAGTGTTCAGGAGGTCTGGGAGTCACCCCCAGAGATACTGGTCAAGTTGTTTGTGCAGGCCCTCTCCTGGCAGTGCTAGGCGACTGTGCTGTTCCTAGACAGAACTCTGCCTTTTGAACACCAGGGATTTGCTCTAACCCTTTAAATGATCTTTCTGGCCTATGATACTAGTTGTAGAGATTTTTTATTGTAAATAATATGTACTGTGGCAACTTATGCTTTAGAATTCCATAATTATATATCTACATTAAAATTAAATTTGTATTAAAAGTTTCACTTTAATTCTTCGTCATGGAGTTAACTCCTTTAACCCGATCACCCACCCCTTATTTACCTGACCTTCTGGCTACTGTGAATTTGGTCTTACAATCTTTAGCCAGTGCCTTACATTCTGCTAAGTACTTAGAACAGTTCAGATATGTTTTGAAGACTAGAAAAGAGAAGACATATATTTGATAAAGTATATGAGATTTTAGATTACTTTCAAGAAATCATTACAAAATCATAATGCAAAATACAAAACTATTCTCTTATATTCAAGAGAATATTTTTAGTTTGCCAACATTAAAATATTGAACTATTTCATATAAACATAGATCCATCCATACATATAAATATGTAGGGGAGAGTTGAGATTGATTTAAGACTGGGATTAAAAATCAATTCTTCCTTCAGTCCAAAACCATGGAACCTGTAGATTATACTACATTTTCTTTGAGATCTTCTAAATGAGTGAGTTAGCTCCTTTTTCCTTTTTAGGTTCAAATGTATGAAACACATGCAGAGGAAACCTGGCCCAGTATAGTGGCGTTGGCACAGAATGGGTGCTGCTAAGAACTGTTTAGCACGTGTCCCTCTTGAGTGTAATTCCAAACGGTGCCTAATAAGCTGGCTTAACTGAATGCCAAAGAAAATTTGCTTTATGAAATGGAAATTCTGAAGCAGGTTACATAAGACCAAGAGAAAATAAATAAGAATACTTTCAAGATATATCCAAATGGGGCAAATGGTCTGTTGTAATCAGAACTGCCCGTGTATGTGGCTCTGTGTTTGATCCTTGGCACCAAAAGAAGAAGAGAGAAAAAGAATAGGTCAGGGCAGGGGGAGATGAGCTCTCTAATTCAGCAATATTTGGTTACAGTTGCTGACATCCAAATGGTTCCGAGGTTTTGGAAGCTTTTAGAAACCACATTAATATTTATATTTAATTTTTTTAAAGAAATGACTTACACAAATTTAGATGAAATGTTAAAAGTTACTTGGGTATTGGTCATCCACCATGAATTCACTGAAAACTATTCACATTAATTATTCTGCACATTTGTAACCATTTTTAAGAGGGGGGGGAAGACGATTTCCTCTGGAGAATCCCTTAGTGTTTAAGAATAATAGAGCAAAGTACTCTACTTGGGGGAATCGTGACTGTGGTTTTAAATATTTACTTTGAGCCAATTTTTGTCATTTTCTTGTCTGGCTTCTCTTTTCCAATTTTTCCCTCACTTACTCACATTTCCTTGTCCAGATATTTATGACCTTGTGCCCACAAGCTGTCATACTGGGGTTCTTCTTCTCTATTAGTTTTTCATTTTGCCATTTACATGGCTGCGAAAGAGTAAGTGAACTAAAGCAAATAAGGGAAAATACACCATTTCTTTTTATTATCATTATTATCATACTAATCAAGAGCTTTAAAATGATGACGTCAATTTCATTGTTACTTATTTATTTTCCCTCCAAGGAGAATGTTAGCCATAGACTTTTTTTTTTTTAAATCATTTTCTGTTTCTCTGTGTTTCTGCAGGATCAATGTGACTCTAGGAACAAATGGATGAATGAATATCCCTATGAAGAGGAAAGCAATAGAGGTTGGTGTGTCCATAATATTTTTCATTTGAAATATTGCTGGGGTGAACATTTCTTCTTCTGTCCTGTGTGCCCTCCTCCCTGACCTCCCCCCATGTTTAGGGGTTTGTTTTTAGAGCAGTTTCTTGTCTGAACATAGGCAGATCAACTCTTAGATACCTTCTGCTTTCTGTGAAGTCTAATTTTTAGTGTTAACCAGGTACATATAAGGAAGGACACAACCTGCTTTTGTGAAAATTTAGCTGTCATTAGATTCCAGAACATAAATTCTTTCTTTCTTTCTTCTTCTTTTTCTTTTTTTTTTTAGGAATGCCTTTTTTCAGGTAAATATTAAGAAATGGGATGTGAGCTCAGTTAGCACTATGGAGTGCATACTTGGTATACAGGAGTCCCAGGTCGAATCAAGGACCTTTTGGTGTCCTGAGCACCTCTGGGACAAAAGAAAAACCAGATAAATTTAAAAATAAATAAGTAAAAGTAAGTAAAGTAAAGGCCCTCCCGTTGATCTTCGATTTGCTCGAGCGGGCCCAGTAACGTCTCCATTGGAGACTTTGTTGTTACTGTGTCTGGCATATCGAATACGTCACGGGGAGCTTGCCAGGCTCTGCCGTGCGGGTGAGACTCTCGGTAGCTTGCCGGGCTCTCCGAGAGGGGCGGAGGAATCAAACTCGGGTCGGCCATGTTGGCTGCGTGCAAGGCAAATGCCCTACCGCTGTGCTATCACTGTGCTATCGCTCCAGCAATATTAATATTTATTTTATAAAATAAATAAATAAATAAATAAGAGTGGTACTACTAGTCTTTGGGACAAAATGGGAAATAAGGGAATGTCAGATTCTTTTTATTTTATCTTTTTGTTGTTTTGGTCACACACTCCTCTCTGTTCAGGGAACTGTGTATGGTGCCTGGGTTTGAACCTGTGAATTTCAGCTGCAGGCAATTCAAACATCTTAACCCCTGTCCTACCTCTCTGGTTTGCCAGATTCTTATTAATATACACTAGTTCCTAATAGCAGAAACCTAGTACAGCACCATGTGGTGTATGATTGCCATCAAATGCTACCTCTTAACACTTGAAATCTTGACTTTCTCAGAGGAAAAAGTGTTTATGAAAGGTTTTAGCCTTTGCCTTCTCACAGACAGAAATCAGTCTGAATCAGAGGCCTCAAAATTCTGTGAACTTCAACTGTAATCAAATGCTGAGTATCATTTTATTTGTAGTACTTGAGCTTTCCAGTACAAAATACTGGATGTAATATAAAAATCATAGGTAATATGAAGAAAATGCCAATATATCAAACCATCTCTATGAGGTTTTTGCACTAAACAGAATTACACAGAGATATGTGCATTGTAATTCTTAATATAGGTGTATGACATACCAATTTCATATATTTCTTTCCCCCATTAAACTACTATATTTAGGTAAGTGTACGTCCTGCAGTTTTTATTTTTTAACTCTGTCCACTTTTGCAGTTACTTCCAAATAATTTTTCCAATCATGTATTTTTCTTAGAATAGACTTTTCCCAGCCCTTCCTGTTAAAATTGCTTCCTTTAAGTTTTTTTATCTGGGAAAAAATCAGGCCTTTGAAAGTTATAATTTTAAGATGATATAAAGGAAACTTCTGAGAGTTATAGTAATGCTTTTTCATGAACTCTTGAAACTCTTTTGCCTTGATGGTGAAACTCTTGAAACTCTTTTGCCTTGCTTTGTGAGAATTAATGGCATACTGTGCTTTTGTGTTTGTGAAGTACTGATACACGGGATGGGGAAAAGACCTGATTTTTAGTGTTTTTCTCCCCCCCCCCCCCATATAAATACTTACTTTTATAGCTAGTTTCGGTATTTGATTTAAAATAAACTTGTTAAATTCAGTTAGTAGATCCACTTTTTTATTTACTCTGAAATAGAAGGAAATATTATTTTTAAGATTCCACTGATCAGCATCAGCAAATTAACCCTCAGCACTGCAAACTACACAGCTGAGAAATGTAAATTGCCTTGCCCTTGTTATTAATTTTTTCAGATGCTAGATAATTTATTTTGTATTGCTTGTTACAAATAGTATGAGATGTCTGTAAGGGTCTATCTCACAGTGATTCAACAAAGGAGTAAAATTTTAAAGAAATAGTATGAGATGTGGAATTCTAAAATTTTAAATAATTGAGGTCTGGAGCCATTTCTGCAGTGAGCTGCTTGGTTCCGAGATTCATTTGTGAGTCTCTGGATCATGGCCATTAATATACTTAAATGACATCTGGAGTCCATTTGTGGGTGTGGCAGCCAGAACCCTGGAAGGGCAGGAGATGAAAAGGGGTGACCAGTCCCAACCCCTTGAGGCCTGATATTTTCAGTCACTGGTCCTCCTTACTTGAGTTTTTTTGGTGGATTTATTCTCTTGCATGAAGGGCCCAGGACAAACCAGTGAAGATTGGCTGTGAGGGTGCCTTGTGCTTATTTTTAGTTTAAAAAATCTGCAAGTATATGTGCCTGTACTTAGAAATGATCTGGTGTTAATACTGCAGGGCTGGGAGTGCATATGGTGCTAGGGATGGAACCTGGGACCTACCCATGCAGAGTCTGTGCTCAATCCCTTGGACCTATCTTCCACACTCCTTACTCTAAATTTCCGATATTTTTGTTGGTAACTGTTAAGTTACCTGCAGAGCATTATACAGTTTTTGATTCAAACTGGGAGTATGAAAATCATAGTTGGTTGCTCCTTTTTCTGAATTTCACTGCCTTCTACATTTTTCATCAGTATGTGGGCTTTCTATGTTGGAAGGGAAATTAACAATCGTCTAAGAAGAATAGTGAGTTTCTATTAAACAGACAGAAGAATTAGATAGTAGTGGGGAGGTTTACATCCTCTGACATGCCTAAAACAAACAAACAACCCCCCCCCCAAACAGTTCATTATTGTATAGGGATGTAATTGCTTTTGTGACTATAGTAACAAATCCCCTATATTTAAAATTGTGACTTTAAGAAAATGTTGACTCAGAATCCCAGGATTTAACTTTTTTTTTTCATTCCAGAATTTTAGTTTCTATTGTCAAAAAGAAAAGCTGCTAGGAACACACACACACACACACACACACACACACACACACACACACACCCCACAAAACAAAAACATACATGTTGAATTGTAAGTTCCTTAACATTTAATAAAATGGTCTTGGCTTATATTTGTATAAATGTGGGAGCCTTCATTTTCATGCAAAATTCATTTATCTCTTTCCTTATGTATAATGTTGATAGAATATTTGTTTTCTTCAATTATTATTAAAATTTTATGTTTGAATATATCAGTGTTAGCATTGTAAATTTATACATTTTGACAATGTCATTGTTCTATAGCTCATTTTATGGGAACTGAAGATTATGGCAAAGAGAATTATTATTTAACTATTTACCCTAGGGCTAAGCTCTGAAAATATTATCATGATTGACTATAATGTATTACATGTGATTCTTTCTAAATGATTGTGACTTGTAGATTATAATTCATAAGTTAAAAAATCTGTTTAGAGCAAGGATGTGTTTGTCCAATTAATTTTTTTTAAATTTCTGTTTTATCACACTTTTATCCATATTTTCAATTGCAGATATTTAGAACATATCATAAAGTAACACTAGTTTTAAGACTTCTTGGTTCATGTGTTGTTAGTGTTAACAAAAAAGCCACATTTACAAAGAACTTGCAGAATTTGAAGACTTTTTACATATTTAAAATACACTGACATGATCAATATTAATATAGGACTTAAAAATTGCCAGCAAGGGAAGCAGAACTGCCATTGTTTCATAATGTAAAGAAGATTTGCATATGACTCTTTAAAATAGTTTGTACATTTTCAATTTGTCAGAGGTGACAAAATACTCCCCAAAGCCATAGAACCTCATGCTGTGCCTTTCTGTAGTATTTAAATGGCTCAGACTATAGGATTTTAATAGCTGAAATATTTTAAAATACTTAAAATTGTAAAATTTTTATCATGACCACACATAGGTCTTATTTCCAAGAGCATCTTTTTCTTGCTTTACACTTATTCTCTCTCTCTTTCTCAACCCCTCATTCTTTACTCTAGATTTGAATTCTTTTACTTAATTTCAGTACAATTGAATTTACTCTTTTACCACCTGCTATCAGAACTTTATGCTTATTTGATTTACTTTGATTTTCTAAAAATATGCTAGTCATCCATTTTCTCATGCTTATAAATTCTGGCATAGAATCTGATCTAGATGCCTTTTAGTGTGTCCTGACTGATCCAATAATAGCTATTGAAAAGAACTTCACCAACTTTAGTTGTTTTCTTGCAGTTGTGCTCTGTTTAGCAAGTGCCTCCCTTAGCTGGTTTACAGCAGATGTTTCTTACATACTCAGACATATATGTTGTCTCAGCTTATCAGAGTTCAGATGAAAACTTTCCCTGTCATTGTCTCTTATGTGCAGGTGCTTAAAACCATTGGGAATTAGCAGAAAGTGCATTTAACTTTCAGCATTTGGAAACCAAGAAAACAAGTCTTATGAGAGAGCTTATTTGCCTACAGAAATAAGAGCTTGTTTCATATATATATATATGGATATTTGTAATGAGGTTACTTTATATTTTCTTTTTCCATGTTATTCCGCCCATGACTTTTATTTCCCTCAGGATAGAAAATGACAATACTGGGCTAGAGCAGTAATACCGTAGGTAAGGCGCTTGCTTGCATGCTGTCAACTGGCTTTGATCTGGCAACCTATATTCACCACCCCCCCTTTATTCTCTATACTGTCAGGGGTAATTATTGTGTATTACCCTGAACATAGCATGATGTGGCCCCAAAGCAAAAACAAAATAGAAGGCAAGAGAAGAACTAGGCAGACTTTCCGCCATTGAAAGTCTATAGGTATAGGTGTTTATAGTGCCACAGGTCATGTAATAACCTGTTCTTGCTAGATACGGTTTTTATAGTGTATCTCCTTGAGCAATAAGCATGGGATAAG